CCATGGGATATTCTGGTGCTTCATCTGACATACTTTGGACATGTTGTAAGGAGGGATAGGTCCTTGGAGAGGGACATCATACTTGGGAGGGTGGAGGGACGGTGCAGGAGGGGAAGACCCTCTAGGAGGTGGATTGATTCAGTGACTGGGGTAATAGGGATGGGTGTGTCAGAGGCAGTGCGATTGGCACGGGACAGAGCAGAGTTTAGGGCTGTTGTACATAGGGTCTGTGAGTTGCAAGCGACTCCACGGCACATAACAACAACAACAACTCCCATCTCCATACACTTAATTCTTTTGAAACCATACACTGTTAAGTTCAGGGGCTTTGGACTCACGCTGTCAATTACAGCCATTAACTCCTGTAGTTGAACACCTTTCCTTTAGGTAATTCCTTGTAGCTAAAAACCCTCAGGCAAGTTCTGAATACTTTAGAACACAAAGTGTTCTAAGTCTAGGTGTTCTCATCTGTAAAATATCTGTAGTGTTGGTGTGGAGATTAACTAGAAAGGTGTTTAACACAGTGCTTCATGCAAACCAAGCTCTCAAGAAGCATCACTATCTCACATTTTTTTGTTAAAGGAACAAGAATTACTGGTCAAGCCAGACTTGCTGCAACAGCACTCGCTTCTATTAAGTAATTAAAAATTTCCGGTACAAAAAAAGAAAAAAAGCCTTACAACTCAGGGCAATTACCATCTCGTGATTGTGGTATTTCCATATATAGACACAGAACACAGAATATCCTGACTCCCAGAGGCTCCGCAAACCAATGCAAGCAAAACCCTGAGGTCTGCACGGCCACTCACCTCATCATGTGCAATCTGATAACCATCGGTGTGTTCCCAATTCTTCCCTGTTACTGCAAAAAAAACAAGGAAGTGGAAATTGCCATGGATTTTCCCTAAATTTTACTTTTATAGGGTCACAATGAGTCAGAGACTGGTGAATTTTATATTATTTTCCTACTTAGTTTTCCCCTCAGAGCTGGTCTCTCCAGCTCTAGTCCAGAGAATTCTGTTGAAATTTCCACCTTAAATAAATTAAAGACCATGGCTAGTGTTTCTCTTGGGCTATTGAAACTCAGTTCTTTCCTCTTCCAAGGGAAAAAAAACCACCCCAAAACAAAAACAAAACTCTACTTCTTATATACTTGGGCTTTTAGTCAATTTTATTACTGTACCCAGAAGTCAGGAGCCCTGAGACCTCATTTATCATTCTTTAAGTGTTCCTTTAAGAGCTTCATATTGTACTGTTACTGATTCATCAAATACTTTCTGTAGATTTATAGCCCTGACAATGTAAAATGGAATCCAAATTATTACAGTATACAGATAATTGATTAGACTTGCAATGAAGATGGTATACTCTTTTTGCAACACTTAGTAGCTGATGGACATAAAATTTCTAAAGAAAAGCTCCATGGTATGCTTAAATTCTCTGTTGTTGGAAATGGAAAATTTTAAATACTTACACACAACTGCTTGGATTTGAGAGAACAATTTTTTACTTCCTACAGAAATGAAGAGAAACTGCTTCACACACATGACAGTCATATAAGCTACTTCCCAAATCATTCTTGCCCCTGTGAAAGTGAAGAAAGATATTTCTCAATCTTATTAATAATTCTGATTTTCATGAATTAACTTTAGAAAGACTTTTAAAGCACCAAAAATTAGTTCAGATAGAAGAAATGAGAATTCCAGATAAAAATGACATTACTTCTAAATCTAAGGTTAGATAATGAAAACAAGTCATCAAAATTTGAATATAGAGACTAAACAAATTTCAAGTCAACAAATCTTGAAATATACTGTTATTATTGTTATGTGTCGTTGAGTCCCTTGTGACTCAAAGTGACCCTATGTGCAACAGCTCTGAACCTTGCTCTATCTTGAGCCAATTCCATTGTCTCCGGCTCACCTACCTCCATTAACCCAGTCACTGAGTCAATCTGTCTCATTCAAGGTCTTCCTCTCTTGCACTTTCCCTCCACTCTTCCATGCATCCTTTCCAAGGACTTGTCCCTCCTGGCAACATGCCCAAAATATGTGAGACAGAGCTTCAAAATAATTCCCTCCAGGGAGCAGTTTGGTTTCACCCTCTCTAGGACAAACTGTTTGTTCTCTTAGCATTTCATGGTAAGTTAAATACTCTTCTCTGGCACCACAGCTCAAAGATATCCTTCCTTCTTCTATCATTCTTAGTCATTGTCCAGCTCTCTAATGCATAGGAAGTAATTGTTAAGACCCAGCTTGGATCAGGCACATTTTAGTATACTGACTAACAGACACTGTTGCTCTTCAGTACTCTGGAGAGGTCCCTAAAAGTAGATTTTTCCCAGCGCAATTCATCTTTTGATTTCCTGTCTGCTAATACCAAGAATGTTGATTGTGAGGGAGCTCTGGTGGCCTAGTGGCAAGAAGCTGCACTGCAATCCCAGATGCATGCAGTTCAAATCCACCAGATGTTCTGCTGTAGAAGGAGGGGCAACCTCCTCCTGTACTAGTCAGATCCGATTTGATGGTACACACATACACACGGCGGGGGTTGCAGCGGTAGGGGGGAGAATGTTGATTGTGGAGCCAAGTAGACTGAAACAGTTAATTATCCCAATCTTTTCACTGTCTGTCATGACACTGCTTATTGGCCCCATGATTAGAATCTTTGTTTTCTTGATGCTGAGCTTCAATCCATATTGAAGGCTGCAGGTCTCCACCTACTGCAGCAAATGTTTCAGGTCCTCTACTGTTTCAGCAAGAAATGTTGTGTCGTTTTCATGGCATACATTGTTGATGAGTCTTCCTCCAAACCTCATGCCGCATTCCTCCTCATAAAGTCTAGTCTCACAGATGATCTGTTCCACATATAGATTGAAAAGGTATAGAGATAGGATGTATCACTGGCATACACCTTTCCTAATTTTGAACCATGCAGTGTTCCCTTTATCTGTTCTTACGACTGCCTCCTAGTCCAAGTATCGGTTTTGCATAAGCACATTCAAGAGTCTGGTATTCCTATTCTTCTCATGGTTAGCCACAACTTGTGATCCACACAGTCAAATACCCTAAGCATAGTCAATGAAACACATACATTCCTCTTGTACTCTCTGCTTTCAGCTAAGATCCATCTAATGTTAGTTATAATGTCCCCGGTGCCACAGCCTCTTCTAAATCCAGCTACACATTTGGCAGTTCTCTGTTCCAGTAATTATTTTTTTTAATAATTGTCAGCAGGATTTTGCTTGCATGTGATACTAATGATAATGTTCTATGATTTCCACTCTCTGTCAGATCATCCTTTTTTGGAATGGAAATAAATATGGATCTCTTTCAGTCAGTTGGCCAGGTATTTATCCTCCAGATTTCTTGGCACAACCTAATGAGCACATCCTGGGAAGTGTCTGTTTGTTGAAATATGTCAGTGGCATGCTATAAATTCCTGGGATCTTGTTTTTTGCCAATTACTTCAGAGCAGCATGAACTTCCTCCTTCATCATCATTGGCTCTTGATCATATGTTGTTTCATGAGATTCTTCTGTGTCAACCAATTCTTTTTGGAATAGTGACTCTGTGTACTCCTTCCATCTTCTTTTGATGCTTCCTGGGCCTACATTTGACATTGTGCCTACACTATCCTTAAGTATTATAACTTGAGGCTTGAATTTGCTCTTCAGTTCCTTCAGCTTAGGAAATGCTGAATATATATAGAGTAAAGAGAGCACTGATACACACTTTTCTTGATCTTAAACCATGCAGCACTCCCTTTTACTATTCAGATGACTTATTTTTATTATACTATGCACTAAGATTAATAGCACACTATTAATCAGAAGCCTCAAGTCAACATAACATTAAGTGCTCATTCAGTTACATAAATCCATATAGTCAGATATTAAGAGCTCTATCCATGGCTCCATTCCCCAATTCCTCTCTGGCCTTTTGGGTCTGGTGAAAAGATGTAAGAGGAACAACTCATGTGATTGCAGGAATGCAGGCTGTTTTTTTCACATCATGTGAATGAAGGTATGCAGGCTGTTTTTTGTTTGTTTGTTTGGGGTTTTTCCCCACAAAACTAGCAAGCAATGGGCCAAGCTGGAAGCCACTGGATGCTTACACACAGTTGCCCTTCTACCCTTGTACTGGTGTTTCTCTCTCTCTTTCTCTCTCTCTCTCTCTCACACACACACACACACACACTCAGTGTGGAGAGTTCTCTGTTACATTGATCCTCCAGCTGTTGCTCATTTGCAAGACCACACGTCCACAATTAAGACCAGAGGGGGTTAAAGTAATGGCTAAAACCCGTCATCTGTAATGCACATCAAACAACTTCTCCAACAGGGAAAAAGAAAGATACAGACTGAGGAAAAAAATATTTAATAATGACCTATCTGATAAGGGACTTATAGCTAAAATGTATAGAATACTCCAACACCTCAACAAGAAGAAGGTAAACAATCCAAATGCAAAATGGGCGCAGGATTTGAATAGACACTTCATCAAAGAAGACATGAAGATGGCAAACAAACACATGAAGAAATGTTCTAAAGCCCCAGGTATCAGAGAGATGCAAATAAAAACAACTATGAGATATCATCTCATCCCAGCAACAATTGCAAAATTCAACATATCAGCAAACAATAAACACTGGCAAGGTTGTGGAGAGATTGGAACCCTTATTCACTGCTAATGGGAGTGTAAAATGATGCAACCACTCTGGAAGGTAGTTAGGCACTTTCTCAAAAAGTTGGAAATAGAAATACCTTTTGCCCAAACAATTCCACTACTGGGATTATACCCTAAAGAAACCAGAACTGCCACCTAACCAGATATATGCACACCCATGTTTATGGCTGTTTTTTTCATAATATCAAAGAGATAGAAACAACCCAAGTGCCCACCAATAAATGGATAAGAAAACAACGGTATATTCACACAATGAACAATGGAATACTACACAGAACTGAAAAACAATGAACTCATAAAACATTACACAACATGGGTAAACCTGGAGGGCACTATGTTCAGTGAAATATCTCAGTCACAAAAAGACAAATATTTGCTAACACCACTGTTATAAAGCAGGACATACATGGGGGTTGGGAAGAGAATAGGAAAAAAGTGGATAGATAATCAATATTGCATTAGAACGGATAAAGAAATATTTAAAAGAAATATATGATTATATGTATGACAATAATCCAGAATAGGGGGTACACTGAAAAGTGGACTGGGGGACCAGGAAGGGCGGAGAGAGAGGAAACTATGGACCAATGAACGAATATTGAAGAAAAATCTTTATTAAAATAAAAATGTTATTATAAAAAAATAAAGATAGTTTATGTAAAAAAATCAACTTTAGGTTAGAACTGCATGACTGTTTCTTAGCATGAGTATAATTGATTGTTTTGGTATTCTCTCTTTTCTTAATTTTATCCATAATTTATTACGATCCAGTCAAATGCATAGTCAATAAAAAATATACAGACACCCTTCTAGTATTTGTGCTTTCAGTCAAGACCCATTTGACATCAGCAATGATGACCTTTGTTCCATGACTGCTTCTGATTCCAGCTTTAGTTTCTGGAACTTTCATTGTTGATGTACTCTTCCAGTAATTTTTAAAACTATTCTTCCACATGATTTTACTTGCATGTGATATTGATGATATTGTTCAATAATTAAAACACTCTACTGGACTACTTTTTCTGTTGGAATGGGCAAAGAAACAATGGTAATTTCACACAGTGGAGCATTATGCAACATTAAAAACAAAGAATTCATGAAACCTGTATAACGTGTATGCATCTAGAGGATATTATGCTAAGTGAAATCAGTCAGTCATAAAAGGACAAATATTTTTATAAGATCTTGTTATAAAAAGCTAAGGGAAGGTCTATACACAGAATCATTCTTGGATTATTACCAAGAACACTATGGGAGGGATGTTGCTGTTGTGTATCATTCAGTCAGAATTGACCCAGAGCTGACCCTCCAGGAGGTTTTCAGAGGTGGTTAATCACATGGGACAAGACTGCCTATCCTCCTCCCGTGGAGCAGCTGGTGGATTCAAACTGCATCCTTCTGGATTGCAACACAGCTTCTTAGCATTAGGGCCACCAGATTTCCTTATTTAATGTTGCACCTCAAGGCTTAATTTTTTTCCTTCAGTTCTTTCAGTTTGAGAAATGCTGAACATTTTCTACCCTTTGGTTTTCTAAGCCTAGCTCCTTGAACATTTCCTTATAATACTTTGCTTCAGCTACTCAAGCGTCCCTCCAAAGTCTCCTGTTGAGCTCTCTTACTTCAGCATTTCTTCTCATTTTGGGGGCTTCTTTTCCTTTCAGTGCAAGTTTAGGAGTCTCTTTGACACTCATTTGGTCTTTTTTTCTCTATCGTTGTAATGGCCTTCTGCTTTCTTGAGGGATGCTAGCCTTGATGTCATTGTTCAACTCATCTGGTCTTTAGTAAAAATTAGTAAACAGATAAAGGCACACATTAAGATGAATGAAAGGCAATATCTAATAAAGTGATGATCAGTATAATATCGCTAAAGAAAGGGAAGACATAGAGAGGTATCAAAGGATTTATGGAAATCACAGTTACAGGAGGACTGTGAAAAGTGTGATTCTATTGTGAACACTGAAGTCAATGTTGTTGTTGTTGTTGTTATGTGCCGTCAAGTCACCTGCAACTCATAGTGACCCTGTGTACAACCCTCCTCTATCCTGTGCCAATCTTACTGTCTCCACACACCTACCCCTATCACCCCAATTACTGAATCAATCCATCTCATAGAAGGTCTTTCTCTCTTGAGCTGTCCTTCCACTCTCCCAAGCATGATGCCCCCCTTCAAGGACTGGTCCCATCTTGCAATATGTCCAAAGTATGTCAGATGAAGCTTCAGAATCCTTGCCTCCAAGGAGCAGCCCGGCTTCACCCTCTCTAGGACGAACCTGTTGGTTCTCTTAGCAGTCCATGATATATTCAATACTTTTCTCCAGCACCACAGATCAAAGGCGTCAATTCTCTTTCTATCAACCCTAGTCATTGCCAAGCTCTCTGATGTAGAGCAAGTAATTGCAAAGACTATGGCCTGGATCAGGTGCACCTTAATCTCCAGACTGGCATCATTGCACTTCAGTACTTTGAAGAGACCTACAACAGCAGAATTTCCCAACATAATATGTCTTTTAATTTCCTCACTGCTGGTACAAAGAGTATTGATTGCAGAGCCAAGCAAACTAAAACTGTTAGCAATCTCAGTCTCTTCACTATCTATCATGATACTGCCAATCAGCCCAGTGGTGAGAATCTTTGTTTTCTTGATGTTGAACTTTAACCCATAATTGAAGGCTGCAGTCCTTGACTTTCTACAGCAAGTGCTTCATGTCCTCCTCAGTTTCAGCAAGCAGGATTGTGTCATCTGCATAACGCAGATTGTTGATAAGTCTTTTGCCAATCCTAATGCCACATTTCTCCTCATAGAGCCCAGCCTCCTGGATAATCTGTTCTGTATAAAGATTGAAAAGGTATGGAGACAGGACATATCCCTAACGTACACCCTTCCCAATTTTGAACCACGCAGTGTTTTCTTGCTCTGTCCTGATGACTGTCTCCTGGTCTAAGTATAGGTTTCACATTAGCACAATCAAGGGTTTTGGGATTCCCATTCTTCTGAGAGTCAGCCACAGTTTGTTGTGACCAACACAGTCGGATGCCTTTGCATAGTCAATGAAACACAGATAGACATTCCTCTGGTACTGCTTTTAGCCAAGATCCATCTAACACTAGCTACAATATCCCTAGTACCACAGCCTCTTCTAAATTCAGCCTGCACTTCTGGCAGGTCTCTGTTGATGTGCTGTTCCAGTCATTTTTGGATAATTTTCATCACAATGTTGCTGACATGTGATACTAATGATATTGTTCAATAATTTCCACACTGTCAGGTCACCTTTCTTTGGAATGGGAACAAATATAGATATTTTACAATTAGTTGGCCAGGAGTTTGTCCTTCAGATTTCTTGCTACAACTTGGTGAGCACAGCTAGGGAAGCGTCTGTTTGTAGAAATATGTCAGTTGGTATACCATCAATTACTGGGTACTTGTTTTTTGCCAGTTCTTTCAGAGTACCTTGAACTTCTTTCTTCATCACCACATGCTCTTGCTTAGACATTGTTTCATGAAATTCTCCTGTGTCCAACAGTACAGTGACTCAGTATACTTTTTCCATCTTTTAATGTTTCCTGGATCATTTAATAATCTGCCCAAAGCATCCTTAAGTATTGCAACTCGAGGCTTGAATTTGATCTTCTGTTCCATAAGCTTAAGAAATGCTGAGTGAGTTCGGCCCCTTTGATTCTCTGACTCCAGTTCTTTGTACGTTTGTACTTGAATGGTTGAATAAAAATAAATTTGCTCTGTAAACTTCACTTAAATAACAATAAAAACTTAAAAATCAAGATTAGTCATTACATTTAAGAATGTTTCTTATCTAAAACTTTCTTCTCGTTTATTTTAATAGACTTTGCATTAGTTTTGTGATGTCTGTCAAGTCTTTCACTTTAAAGAATTCTTATTATTATTAGAGTCAATGATGGATATTTTAAAGTTGTCATTTGTGATAAGTTCTACTTCCCTGACTCACTGAAAATACTTGATCAAACAAAAGAACTAAATTGGAAATTTTAGCATAATCTGCAAAACCAGAGAGAGAAAATAACAGTTAATAAAGTTTTTAGAAAGAAAAAGGTAGCAGTTTTATATTAAAATAAAATGTCTGGTTATAACAGTGTATGACAGATAATGAAAGCTAAACTTGACAGAATATAGTAAGTGGTAGATGATTTGAGAGAAAAAGAAGGTTTATGTATTTGGAAAGAAAGTATAAGTGAAGAAAAGATGAAAAAAATGTTATAGTAGGAGTTAAAGGAAAAAGTTAAAATGGAGACTTAAGAGTCATTAAAATACTGAGATTATAATATTGATTGAAAGCAGAATCTATCAGAAAGATATTTATTGTGCTTTACTTACAAAGAAAAGGCATTTGCTGTGTCGATCATGATAAATTATGGCTGACATTGAGAAGAATGGGAATTTCAAAACACTTGCTTGCACAAAAACTGTACCTAGACTTAATCTAGTGGGTAAGGCATTGTGCTGCCAACTCAAAGGCAGGTGGTTCAAATCCACCAGATGCTCCTTGAAAGTTGGGCAATCTTCTCCTGTGCAGTTCACAGCCTCTAAAAACTCACTGGAGGCTCAGCTATGAGTCAGTTCTGATTCAGCAACAATGAATAAGTTGAGTTATGTGTGTTTTTGCAATGAATAAGTCATTGTGCAAAATTGGATCATCCTATCTCCAGCTCCATTTCTGTCACTGAGACCATGTTTCCCAACTACTGAATCTTCTTCTCTGTTCCCAACTTTTGAATTCCAGTCACCCATTATTATCAATGCATCTTGATTGCATGTCCGAGCGATCTCCAACTGTAAAAGTTGATAAAAATCTTCTATTTCCTCTTCCTTGGCTCTGGTTATTGGTGCATATAGCTGAATGACAGTGGTATTCACCGGCCTTCCTTGTATGCATATGGATATTACCCTGCCACTCACAATATTGTACTTCAAGATGGATCTAGCAATGGCTTTCTTAACTATGAAAGCAACTCCATTTTTCCTCACCTTTTCATCTCCATCGAATTTTACACAATGACTTATCAGCATTTCTTAAGCTCAAGGAACTGAAGAACAAATTCAAACCTCGAGTTGCTATAATAAAGGATGCTTTAGGCAGAATATTAAATGATCCACGAAGTATTAAAAGAAGATGGAAAGAATATACTGAGTCACTGTATTGAAAGGTATTAGAAGACACAGAAGAATTTAATGAAACAACATATGAGCAAGAGCCTATGGTGATGAAGGAAGAAGTTCAAGCTGCTTTGAAGGAAATAGCAAAAAATAAGGCCCCAGGAATAGACGGCATACCAATTGACATATTTCAGCTGACAGATGTTGCCCTGAATGTGCTCACCAAGTTGTGCCAAGAAATCTGGAGAACAACCGCTTGGCCAACTGACTGGAAGAGATCTATATTTGTTCCCATCCCAAAGAAGGGTGACCCAACAGAGTGTGGAAACTACAGAACAATATCATTAATTTCACATGCAAACAAGATTCTACTGAAGATTATCCAAAAACGACTGGAACAGCACATCAGCAGAGAACTGCCAGAAGTCCAGGCTGGGTTTAGAAAGGGTCATGGTACTAGGGATATTGTAGCTAATGTTAGATGGATCTTGGCTGAAAGCAGGGAATACCAGAGGAATGCCTATCTGTGTTTCATTGACTATGCAAAGGTGTTTGACTGTGTGGATCATAACAAACTGTGGCTGACTCTGAGAAGAATGGGAATCCCAGAACACTTGATCGTGCTAATGAGAAAACTATACTTGGACCAGCAGGCAGTCATCAGAATAGAGCAAGGAAACACTGCATGGTTCAAAATTGGGAGAGGCATACGCCAGGGATGTGTCCTGTCTCCATACCTTTTCAACCTGTATGCAGAACAGATTATCTGGGGGGCTGGGCTCTATGAGGAGAAATGTGGGGTCAAGATTGGTGGAAGATCTATCAACAATCTGGTGGAAGATCTATCAACAATCTGCGATATGCAGATGACACAACCCTGCTTGCGGAAAGTGAGGAGGACCTGAAGCACTTGCTGCAGAGGGTCAAAGACTGAATCCTCCAATATGGATTGAGGCTCAATGTCAAGAAGACAAAGATTCTCACCACTGGGCCAATTGGCAGCATCAGGATGGGTGGTGAAGAGATTGAGATTGTACACAGCTTTAGTCTGCTTGTCTCCACAGTCAACACTCTTGGTACCTGTAGCCAGGAAATTAAAAGACGCATTGCCATGGGAAAGTCCGCTGTTAGGGACCTCTCCAAAGTACTGAAGAGCAATGGTGTCTCTCTGGAGACTTAGGTGCATCTGATACAGGCCATGGTCTTCGCAATCACCTGTTAGGCATCAGAGAGTTGTACAATGACTAAGGAGGATAGAAGGAGAATTGATACCTTTGAGCTGTGGTGTTGGAGAAGAGTATTGAAGATACCATGGAGTGCTAGGAAAACAAACAGATTCATCCTCGAAGGGTCAAACTGGGTGGCTCCTTGGAGGCAAGGATTCTGAGGTTTGTCTAAGATACTTTGGACATGTTGTAAGGAGGGACAGGTCTTTGGAGAGGACATCATGCTTGGTAGGGTGGAGGGACAGCGCAAGAGGGGAAGGCCCTCTATGAGGTAGATTGATTCAGTGACTGGGGCAATTGGGATGGGTGTATCGGAGATGGTGCGATTAGCACAGGACAAAGCAAAATTTAGGGTTGTCGCAAGCAACTCGACAGCACATAACAACAACAACAACAATGTGTGTTTTAAAATGAGGAAAGGTGTGTACCTGGGCTGTACCCTGTTTTCATACCTATTGAATCTATTTGCAGTGCAAATACTTGGAGAAGCTGGATTATATGAAGGCAAAAGTGGCATCAAGATTTGGGAAGGGGCAGGGACAATGTAGAGAAGATCTTAGATGGTACGGATTGCCTCAGTGACTGGGGTAACGGGTAGTTGTGTCAGAGATGATAAGGTTGGCTCAGGATAGAGCAGAGTTTGGAGCTATCACACATAGGGTTGCTATGAGTTGCAAGCAACTTGACAGCATATAACAGCAACATCAATAACCTATGATATGCAGATGACACAATCTTGCCTGCAGAAACTAAGGAAGACTTGAAGCATTCACTGAATCCTCACAACTGGAACAAAAGACAGCATTGTGATAGGTGGAGAAAAGTTTGAATTTGTCAATTACTTAATACTCTTGGATCCACAGTCTCCATTCAAGAAAGCAGCAGTCAAAAAACCAAGACATGCTTCAGTTGGTAAATCTGCTGTCAAGGACTTCTTTACAGTGTTAAAGAGCACGGATGTCAGTTCAAAGAGTGAAATGTTTCTAACCCACATCATGGCATATTCAATTGCTTGTAAAAGTTGGACAATGAATAAGGAAGACCAAAGGAGAACAATGCCTTTGAGTTGTAGTGTGGGAGAAGGGCATTGTATAATGCATGGAATGCCACAGAACAAATAAATCTATTTTAGAAGAAGTGCAATAAGATTGTTCCTTTGAGGTAAGGATGGTGAAACGGTCTCACATACTTTGGGTATATTGTCAGGAGGCACCAGTCCTTGAAGAAAGACATCCTGATTTCAAAAGTAGAGGGTCCTCTGCTCACCCCACACGTGTCCCTGACAGATGCCTTCCTGGATGAGGTGCAGAAGGCCAAAGGGAACCCTGAGAGCAGCTTCACAGTTGACAACCTTCGCCTGGTGGTGGCCGACCTGTTCGGGGTTGTGATGGTGACCACTGCCATCACCCTGGCCCGGGTCCTCCTACTCGTGCTCCTGCACCCGGAGGTGCAACACCGTGTCCAGAAGGAGATTGATGAGGTGATAGGGCAGGGCCGAGCCCCTGAGATGGCTGACCAGGCCCACATGCCCTTCACCACCGCTGTGGTCCACGAGGTGCAGCGCTTTGGGGACATAGTACCGCTGGGCCTGCCTCACATGACTCTCCGTGACATTGAAGTGCAAGGCTTCCTCATCCCCAAGGGGACAACGCTCATCACCAAGCTGTCATCAGTGCTGAAGGACGAGACCGTCTGGAAGAAGCCCTTTCGCTTCCACCCAGAACACTTCCTGGATGATCAAGGCCACTTCGTGAAACAGGAGGCCTTCATGCCATTCTCAGCAGGTCGGCGCGCCTGCCTCGGAGAGCCCCTGGCTCACATGGAGCTCTTCCTCTTCTTCACCAGCCTCCTGCAGCGTTTCAGCTTCTCCGTGCTCCCTGGACAGCCTCAGCCCAGCGACCATGGCATCTATAACTTCCTGTACACTCCAGCCCCCTACCAGCTGTGTGCTGTGCCCCGCTAGAGACTCCAAGCCTCACCTGCTCCCCAGCTTCACTCTGAAGTAATTACCCAGTATTAAACCCAACTCCTCCACCGTGAAAAAAAAAAGTAGAGGGTCAATGAAAAAGAAGACTCAACAAGATGAAACAGTGTCTGTGAAATGGCTTGAGTATGGTGGAGACTGTGAGGACAGAGCTAAGTTCCATATCTATTATCCACTATGGTTTGTAGTCAACTTGGAGTCAAATTGTAGTCAACAGATAACTTAAAATAAAAAAAAAAAACACTCCAAACAAACCAGAAAATGTAAGAAATGTCTAACATCTACCCCCACTCCCTCAGAGACAAAACAACAAAAATCAAACCCACTGCTGTGAAGTTGAAACTGATTGAGGGTGACAATCAAATTTCTGAGATTGTAAATATTTCTTTTAAAATATATCTTATTTTTTTTATGAAAGCTGAGTGTCTTATCTTTCCTTTATGGAGCAGTTGGTAGGTTCAAACTGACAACTATTCCGTTGTTGTTGTTGTATACCATCAAATCAGAACCAATCCATAGCTGACCCTTGAGCAGGTTTAAAGAGGCAGTTAATCACACAGAAGGAGATTACCCATCCTTCTCCCACAGAGCAGCTGGTGAATCCAAAACTCATGCCTTCAGGATTGCAGTGCAGCTTCTTAACACTAGGCCACCAAAGCTCCCTAGAGTTAGTAGCTCCAAACTTCTTTCCTTATCAATGCCTACTAATGTTTCAAGGCTTGAATTTATTCTTTAGAACCGTTTGGAAGAATAACTTCGAGTTGAGTTACAATACTGATGAATTCTGTGGGTAAAATGTGATCAAGTTGTTGTTTGCCATTGAGTCAGAACCAACCCATAGCTGATCCTCTAGTGGATTTTCAGAGGCAGTAAGTTACATGAGAGAAGACGGCCCATCCTTCTCCCCAAAGCAACTGGTGGATTTGAACTGTGTGCCTTTATATTGCAGTAGAGTTTCTTAACATTAGACCACCAGAACTCCTCTTTGGGTGAAATGTGAAATGATGCAGGAAGTATCAGAAGATGATGAAAGGATATGTACAGTCGCTGTAACAAAACAAACAAACAAAATTGGTCCCCACTGGATCATTTCAGGAAGCAGTATATAATCAAATATCAGTTGCACTGAAGGAAGAAATTCAAGCTGTGCTGAAAGAATTGACAAGAAATAAGTAAAACAAGTCCCCAGGAATTGACAGACTACCAACTGAGATGTTTAAGAAAGCAGATGCAATGTGAAAACACCAAAAAAAAGAAAAAAAAGAAAGCAGATGCAGTACTAGACATGCTCACCAGTCTCTATCAACAAATATGGACAATAATTACCTGGCCAATGACAAGAAGAGTCCCATATTTGTTACCTTTTCCAAGAAGGGTGATCCAATAGACTGTGGAAATTATAGAATAGTATCAGTATTACCAAATGCAATTAATATCTTGCTGAAGATTATTTTAAAATGTCTGAAACATTACATGGACAGGGAACTGTCACAAATTCAAGCTGGACTCAGAGAAGGGTGTGGCACAAAGGATATCAATGCTGATGTCAGATGTATCTTGGCTGAAAGCAAAGAATAGCAGAATGATGTTTACCTGTGTTTTATTAACTATGTAAAGGTATTTGCATGGATCATAACAAATTATGGCTAAAATTGAGAAGAATGGAAATCCCAGAACACTTATTTGTGCTCATAAAAAACCTATACCTAGACCAATATGATGTCTGAACAGAGCAAGGGAACACGGAATAGTTTAAAATTAAGAAGGTATATATCAGTGCTATATCCTTTCTTCATACATATTCAGAATGTATGCTGAGCAAATCATTGGAGAAGCTAGACTTTGTGAAGAAGAATATAGCATCAGGATTGAAGGAAGACTCATCAACAGCTTGTGTTAAACAGATGATACAACCTTGCTTGCAGAAAGTGAAGAAGATACATGCACTGAAGATCAAGGAAAATAAAAGATTAAAATTAAAGACTACAACCTACAGTATAGATTATATGTCAATATTAAGAAAGCAAAAATCATCATCACTGAATCAATAGGAAACATCATTATAGAGGAAGAAAAGATTAAAGTTGCCAATTATTTCATTTTACTTGGATCCTCAATCAACATGTTGGCACCAGCAGTCAAGAACGCAAAAGACTAGGATTGCAGGATATAAGATCAATATCCAAATATCAATAGGATTCCTCTATAGAAACAAAGAGAACTCAGAGAAGGAAATCAAGAAAGCAATACCATTTATAATACCAACCACAAATTGAGATACTTGGAAGTGAACCTAACTAGAGATACAAAAGACCTATACATAAAACAACCCAGTGGTAGATGGAATTTGGTCCAGGACTTAAGAACAATAAATTACATAGTTGAGCCTCTACATCATGTGGTTTCTAACCTTTATACTATAATAGACAAAGTGCTAGTCAATAGGCCTTTTATTTTAAGAACTACCTTCCCTTTGTAACTTGATTTGTGCCA